AATCCAAGAAGCCCAGCAAACTACAAGCAGGATGAATACAAAGAAACCCACACTTAGGCACCTCACAGTCAAATTAGTGAAAAACAAAGAGAAAGAGAAAATACTGACTGGGTATTTGATAAAACATTACGTATAGGAAAACAAGAAGAAATAGAATTCCAAGAAATGGAATGATACGGTTAAGCGCTGAAATAAAAATAAAACTGTAACCTGAAACTCTATATTCATCAAACCATCCTTGAAAAATGGGAGTGAAATAAAGGCATTTTCCAATGAACAAAATCTGAGAGAATTAATCACCAGCAGACTACAGGAAGGATAAAAGATGGAAATGACATGTAAAAGACTAGTTTTACTTAATTTTTTTCCTTTTAATTTCCTTAAAAGACAAATGACTGTCAAAACAAAAATCACATCATTTTGAGGAATAGTTTATAAATAGTTGGAAGAAGTACATTAAAATCATTCAAAGGACTAATGAGGGTGTAAATGGAACTGCTGTAAGGTTTTTACATTTGTGCCATTTGAAGTGTAAAGTGGAATACAGGCATACCTTATTTTATTGTGCTTTGCTTCATTGCGCTTTGCATTATTACACTTTACAGATATTGCATTTTCTACAAATTGAAGGTGTGTGGCAACCCTGCATCAAGCAAGTCTATTGGCACCATTTTTCTAACAGCAGTTGCTCACTCTGTGTCTCTGTGCCACATTTTGGTAATTCTTGAAATATTTCAAAAATTTTCATTACTATCATATTTGTTATAGTGATCTGTGATCAGAAATCTTTGATGTTACTACTGCAAAAAACATTACAACTCTTTGAAGGCACAGATAATGGTTAGCATTTTTTGCAATAAAGTATTTTTTAACTAAGGTATGTATATTGTTTTTTTAGACATAATGCTATAGTACACTTAATAGACTATAGTACAGTGTAAACATAACTTTTATATGAACTGGGAAACCAAAAAATTCATGTGATTTGCTTTATTGCAATATTCGCTTCATTGCAGTGGTCTGGACCCAAACTTGCACTATCTCTATGGTACATCTGTAATGTTAATTCTAAGTAGACTGTGATAAGTTAAGAATGCATACTGTAATTTGCTAGAGCGACTACTAGAAAAATACAAAGAGGCTGTAGATAAAAAGCCAATAGAAAAAATAAAAATGAAGTGCTGTATCTGATGAACCCAAAAGGTGGCAGGAAAAGAGGAACAAAAATAGATCAGAACAAAGAGGAAGCAAATGGCAAGATGATAGAGTTAAATCCTATCATATCAATAATTATGTGAAGTGTATATGGACAAAACATTTCAATTAAAAAGCAGAGAATACCACAATGAATTTTTAAAAAATCTGTCTCTAAGGGGTAACTTTAAATATATAACCACAGGTGGGTTGAAAATAAAAGGATGGGAAAAAGATATACCATGCAAATGGTAAGCACAAGAAAGCCGGTGTGGCTAGATTAATATTAGACAAAGTGGGGGCTTCCCTGGTGGCGCAGTGGTTGAGAGTCCGCCTGCCAATGCAGGGGACACGGGTTCGTGCCCCGGTCCAAGAAGATCCCACATGCCATGGAGTGGCTGGGCCCGTGAGCTATGGCCGCTGAGCGTGCGCGTCCGGAGCCTGTGCTCCACAACAGGAGAGGCCACGGCAGTGAGAGGCCCGCGTACCGCCAAAAAAAAAAAAAAAATTAGACAAAGTGAACATTCAGACAAAGGTCTAGTACCAGAGATAACAAGGGACATGTCATAATGATGAATATGCTAATTCAACAGGTAAACATACCAATCCTAAAAGTGTCTATACTTAACAAGAGAGCTCCAGAGCTCCATAATAAAGTTAGAAAAAGCTGACAAAACTAAAAGGATAAGTATGTAGATCCACAATCATATCTGGAGATTTTAACAGCCCTCTCAGCAATTAATAGAAAAAGTATACCAAAGTGAAACCAAGCAAATCAGATCTAAAAAGTGTGACCACCCAACTTGAACTCTTTGAAAAGACTAATAAAACTGGCAGACCCCTAGCAAGACTATTTTCTACCAAAATGAAACAAAGAACAACAACAATAACAACAACAGAAAACAAAAATGACCAATATCGGGAATAAAAAAGGAGACATAACCATAGACCCTACAGACATCAGACTAATAAGAGAATATTACAAACACTTCAGACCAATAAATTTAGCAACTCATATATCTGTACAATGAAAAGCCACAAAGCAAACTCCTTATACATAGAACAACGTGACAGATCTCACAGCTATTACCTCAGGGTGGGGGAGGGGGAACAAGCACAAAAGAGTACATACTATGTAAGTATAATGTTCTAAAACTGGCAAAGCTAATCTATAGTGATAAAATCAGATCAGTTATTGCACCTGGAGCAGAAGGTAAAAAGAGTGGAACTGACTGCAAAGGGGAACAAAGGATATTTCTGGTATGATGGAATATACCAATTGTCAAAACTCATCGTATCGCACACTTAACACTTGAACTTTATTGAATGTAAATTTACCTCAGTGAAGTTGATTTTGAAGAAAACAAAAACAGTTTTAAAAAATACTACAGAAATAGGATGAAACATGAGTTTAGTCCATAAATTTTTTTAATTTAAAAAATCTTTCAAAACATACTTCGTTTATGTTATATACCTTCTTAACAAAATAGGAAGCATAAACTGTGGGCCAGGAAGTGCCTTTAATTCATAAGATCTAGCACAGTGCCTTGGGAGACAGCTGGGTTACAGCTGAGAAAGCAATACACCTGAAGCCAGAAGACCTGGGTTCAAATAATGACTTATGTGATCAATTAGCTTTGAACCTTAGGCAAGTCTCTCCATCTTAAGTTTCTTCATCAGCTACAGGGCTGGTGTGAAGGTGAAGAAATATTATTATAACGTATCTAGTAAAACACCTCACAAAGTTATATTACTCACAGTAATAGACACTGATTAGATGAAGAAATGAAGGAGATAAACAATGACATGGACATGGATACAAGCCAACAGGAACAGGGGAGAGCGTGTTTGTAGTCTCATTTCTGTCTGTGGCTGCGATGGGTGGGATGGAGGATGGAACAGAAGTGTCCAAGCATGAGGACCTAATACCATGTTCCTATCCTATGCAGTAGGTGCAGGGAGTAGGACAGGGTTGGCTGCCAGCCCAGAATGAATATACTTTCACTGTGACCTGGATCCCGGCATTCTGGGCTAACTCCCTTGTCCTGGTGAGGAGCGTGAAAAGCGAGGCTACTTGTCTACCTAAGACTCCAATGGGCTTTGCCCAGGTTCCTGAGAGTTGCAGTATCTGCTATTACTGGGGGCCTCTGAAACGCCAACATAACTGATGACCCAACTTTAAAGTGTTCCACTCCTCCCTATCCTTGGGTTTTCAGACATTTCGCTCTAACTAAAACAAGCAGAGCAGAGATCTTTTGGATACAGCAGCAGTGACCAGAGTAACAGCTTCATTAATGCCCAGTTGGCTGATTTTCAGTAGAGTTCCAGGGAACGATGCTTCGTCTGAGTCTTCAAAAAGTGCACGAGTAGAAAAATCTAGAGGGTGACCGCAACAAAGTCCCAGATTTAAGACCTGAGAAGTCACGTATCTTCCAAACATGGAGCCACTAGTAGGGCACCTAAAAATCCAATACTGAGTCACAGTAATAGTATCTGATAGAGGTTTGAACAGATCACTATGAGGGCATGCAGAGGGGGTAATAAACCAAGTGGTGGGGGAGGAAGCAGTATTGGGGAAATATCCTCGAGAAGAGTGACAACTATGCTGAGTCTAAAGATGTTCAAGAGTTATCTGGGCAAAAGGCATTCCAGGCAGGGACACAGCAGGTACAAAGACTCCAAAGGATTGGACGGTGCCATGTGCAGAGCACAGCGGGTAATTCCATAGAGCTGGAGCATATGGTATGCAGGGAAAATGAGGCGATGGCAGAGGCACAGGCAGGGTCTTGAGAAAGACCTTTTTTATTTTTATTTTTTTGGTCGTGCCACAGGTCTTGCAGCATCTTAGTTCCCCGATCAGGGATCGAACCTGAGCCCCTTGCAGTGGAAGTGTGGAGTCCTAACCACTGGACCACCAGGGAATTCCCTGAGAAGGTCCTTTTTTAAAGTCGGGCTGAAGGAATTTATATTGTATCTTGAAAATGAAGGGGAGCCACTGAAGGATTTTCAGCAAGCAGTACCACAACCAAATTGGCATTTTAAAGAGATCATTCTGGCAACAGTGTGGAGAACAGATTGAAAGGGGACAAAAGCAGAGACAGGGAAAACTAGTTAGGAGACCGTTGAAGTGATCCACGTGGGGAGTGACAGTGGTCTAAGAGAGCAGCACACAGAATGGAGCGAGGACGTATTCGATATGGTAAAAAAAGTAGAACTCTCAAGACTCGTTCACTGATTCATATGAAGGTGAGAAAAAGCAATCCAGCATGACTCCCAAGTTTCAGGCTTGGGTGTATGACTGGCTAGACATGCTGTCTGTAAAGATAAAGAATAAGTCAAGCTACATTTCAAAATATAAAAAACATTGACACTGCCCTAAATTTAAGAAGAAAAAATTAACACAAACAAAGCACAGGCTGCCTTGGACAGTATGGATATGGATCTCTGAGAAAAATCAAACCCTAAATTCACAGCGGGGAATAAGTCAGTTAAAGAAATTTCTGTCTAACATATGTTGATGAATGAATAATCAAAGAATAACACAGAAGGCAATTCACTAACAAGAGAGCCATCTACTGCCTTACAAGGATAGTGCAGTGATAAAATGCCACCAAAAAACGTGGAAGAGAGCCAAGTTTGCGAACATTTCCCACTGCACATGTATTCATAAAGTATCTGACGCCCCACCAAAACAAACTCCAAGTGGTTAGCACTTGCAGCTAATAGCCAAATGCTGTGACTCACTTATTTCTTCTAAAAACATCAATTCAATATATACCATCATTTCAATATAAAACCTGGCTTACCTGCCATCATGGCTATCATACTGGCTTTATAGACATTCGTAAGAGATCCAAGTTCTCCTGTTGCTAAGATAGTTTTGAGATGAGCCTCTCCACAGGCCTTGCGAAACTGACGAATCTCATCATACAGGGCTGGGGAAGGAAATAATTGAGGCAGTTACAAAGCAGGCAAGTGATAACGTAACTTGGCAGCCATTCAGAGCTGGTAGAACCCATCTCAGATTTAGGAAACATAAACCATTTGTCACTTTCTAAAAATCACCCCAATTTAATATCGCTTCAAGCATTCTGTTGCAGTTCACATCCTGTTACAAGGAATGCTTAGTTTGCTACCATGAAACTCTTTCTATGCCCTGGACCAAGGTCCTGAGCCATGGAGCTTTTAAAATAACATTATAATGACATGGAAATTACAAATAGTTTTTACTGCTTCCATATGATGGCTACTTACAATAAAAAAGAAATCCATCTTCCACATACACAGGGGTATGCTACTTTGCAAACTAAAGAAAAAAATCCTCAGGTCCTTATTAATTCTCACATTCACACAAAATAAGTTCTCTTGGTGGAATATAAAGCAGGCCTTTCCTGAGAGCTCTGCTAATGGTAATAAAGACATAAGAGCTTGCCCCACTATTTGCCAGGGTATGTGTCTATATATCGGACTAAAAAGTGTTGAGCCTGGCCAGGTAGTGATGGACGTATGTACACAAATCCAGCTGTAGAGGAATTCAGAGATGCAGCTTTGAATCTATTAACCTCTGACCCCAATAGCACATTTGGCTTTCTAGAACTCCATATAGGACTCTGAAAGCAGCTGGATTAAAAAAAAAAAAATTAGTCTCAAGTCAGCAAACTCAGTCAAACCATGAAAGTTATAACAAGATAAACAAAACTTGTCTTCTCAATCCTAGAAAACTTGAACTTAACCTGAACCTCGACAGTGAAAAGTGAACACAAATAAAGGCAAGGATTCTTTTACAAGATGCACAGCAAAGTCCAGTGTTCGTTGCCTCCAAGAGGTACCCACAGGCTTTTTAAGAAAGAACTGAATAGTTTCACAAATCCCTAATAATCAGTAGTTTTGAGTATTACAGACCATCTGAGATGCCACACCTCCCACCTTACCCTGTGCATCCCACATAAACTATGAGAAAATCATCTTACCCACACATCCAATATGACAACATGTGAGAATGGTATAAACAGCCAAAGACTATGTGGCAATAACAATTTATATTCTTTTAACTCAGAGCATGAATCTTGGATGGAATGACATTTATTGACTTACCAAATCTAAAAAGAGAAAGTTGTCCTCTAAGAACTAATGACAAGGATATCTCTTGATCTAAAAATTCAAGAAGGCTAGGGACTTCACTGGTGGTACAATGATAAGCCTCTGTGCTTCCACGGCAGGGGACAGGGGTTTGATCCCTGGTCGGGGAACTAAGATCCCACATGCTGTGCTGTGTGGCCAAAAGAAAAAAAAAAAAAAATTCAAGGAAATCAAAAAATAACTAGAAACAAATGACAATGAAAACTCGATGACCCAAAGCCTATCGGATGCAGCAAAAGCAGTTCTAAGAGGGAAGTTTATAGCTATAAAAGCCTACCTCAAGAAACAAGAAAAATTTCAAATAAACAATCTAAACTTACACCTAAAGGAACCAGAGAAAGAAGAAAAAACAAAACCCAAAGTTAGCAAAAAGAAAGAAATCATAAAGATGAGAGCAGAAATAAATGAAATAGAAACAAAGAAAACAATAGCAAAGATCAATAAAACTAAAAGCTGGTTCCTTGAGAAGATAAACAAAATTGATAAACCATTAGCCAGGCTCATCAAGAAAAAGAGGGAGAGGACTCAAATCAATAAAATTAGAAATGAAAAAGGAGAAATCACAACTGACACTGCAGAAATACAAAGGATTATAAGAGATTACTACAAACAACTGTATGCCAATAAAATGGACAACCTGGAAGAAATGGACAAATTCTTAGAAAGGTATAACCTTCCAAGGCTGAACCAGGAAGAAACAGAAAATATGAACAGACCAATCACAAGCACTGAAATTGAAACTGTGATTAAAAATCTTCCAACATGGGGCTTCCCTGGTGGCGCAGTGGTTGAGAGTCCCCCTGCCGATGCAGGGGACATGGGTTCGTGGAAATACAAAAAATCATGAGGGATTACTACAAGCAACTCTATGCCAATAAAATGGACAATCTGGAAGAAATGGACAAATTCTTAGAAATGCACAAACTGCCAAGACTGAATCAGGAAGAAATAGAAAATATGAACAGACCAATCACAAACACTGAAATTGAAACTGTGATTAAAAATCTTCCAACAAACAAAAGCCCAGGACCAGATGGCTTCACAGGCGAATTCTATCAAACATTTAGAGAAGAGCTAACACCTATCCTTCTCAAACTCTTCCAAAATATAGCAGAGGGAGGAACACTCCCAAACTCATTCTACGAGGCCACCATCACCTTGATACCAAAACCAGACAAGGATGTCACAAAGAAAGAAAACTACAGGCCAATATCACTGATGAACATAGATGCAAAAATCCTCAACAAAATACTAGCAAACAGAATCCAACAACACATTAAAAGGATCATACACCATGATCAAGTGGGATTTATCCCAGGAATGCAAGGATTCTTCAATATACACAAATCAATCAATGTGATACACTATATTGACAAACTGAAGAATAAAAACCATAGGATCATCTCAATAGATGCAGAAAAAGCTTTTGACAAAATTCAACACCCATTTATGATAAAAACTCTCCAGAAAAGTGGGAATAGAGGGAACCTACCTCAACATAATACAGGCCATATTCGACAAACCCACAGCCAACATCATTCTCAATGGTGAAAAACTGAAAGCATTTCCTCTAAGATCAGGAACAAGACAAGGATGTCCACTCTCACCACTATTATTCAACATAGTTTTGGAAGTCCTAGCCACGGCAATCAGAGGAGAAAAAGAAATAAAAGGAATACAAATTGGAAAAGAAGAAGTAAAGCTGTCACTGTTTGCAGATGACATGATACTATACATAGAGAATCCTAAAGATGCCACCAGAAAACTACTAGAGCTAATCAATGAATTTGGTAAAGTTGCAGGATACAAAATTAATGCACAGAAATCTCTTGCATTCCTATACACTAATGATGAAAAATCTGAAAGAGAAATTAAGGAAACACTCCCATTTACCATTGCAACAAAAAGAATAAAATACCTAGGAATAAACCTACCTAGGGAGACAAAAGACCTGTATGCAGAAAACTATAAGACACTGATGAAAGAAATTAAAGAAATTAAAGATGATACCAACAGGGCTTCCCTGGTGGCGCAGTGGTTGAGAGTCCGCCTGACGACACAGGGGACACAGGTTCATGCCCCGGTCCGGGAAGATCCCACATGCCGCGGAGCGGCTGGGCCCGTGAGCCATGGCCGCTGAGCCTGTGCGTCCGGAGCCTGTGCTTCACAACGGGAGAGGCCACAACAGTGAGAGGCCCGCGTACCGCAAAAAAAAAAAAGATGATACCAACAGACGGAGAGATATACCATGTTCTTGGATTGGAAGAATCAATATTGTGAAAATGACTACACTACCCAAAGCAATCTACAGATTCAATGCAATCCCTAACAAATTACCAATGGCATTTTTTTACTAGAACAAAAAATCTTAAAATTTGTATGGAGACACAAAAGACCCCAAATAGCCAAAGCAGTCTTGAGGGAAAAAAACAGACTTGGAGGAATCAGACCCCCAACTTCAGACTACTACAAAGCTACAGTAATCAAAACAATACAGTACTGGCACAAAAACAGAAACATAGATCAATGGAACAAGATAGAAAGCCCAGAGGTAAACCCACGCACTTATGGCAACTAGTCTATGACAAAGGAGCCAAGGATATACAATGGAGAAAAGACAGTCTCTTCAGTAAGTGGTGCTGGGAAAACTGGACAGCTACCTGTAAAAGAATGAAATTAGAGCACTCCCTAACACCATACACAGAAATAAACTCAAAATGGATTAGAGACCTAAATGTAAGACCAGACACTATAAAACTCTTAGAGGAAAATATAGGAAGAACACTCTTTGACATTAATCACAGCAAGATCTTTTTTGATCCACCTGCTAGAGTAATGGAAATAAAAACAAAAATAAACAAATGGGACCTAATGAAACTTAAAAGCTTTTGCACAGCAAAGGAAACCATAAACAAGATGAAAAGACAACCCTCAGAATGGGAGAAAATACTTGCAAATGAATCAACGGACAAAGGATTAATCTCCAAAATATATAAACAGCTCATGCAGCTCAATATTAAAAAAAAAAACAACCTAATCCAAAAATGGGCAGAAGATCTAAATAGACATTTCTCTAAAGAAGACATACAGATGGCCAAGAAGCACATGAAAAGCTGCTCAACATCACTAATTATTAGAGAAATGCAAATCAAAACTACAATGAGGTATCACCTCACACCAGTTAGAATGGGCTTCATCAGAAAATCTACAAACAACAAATGCTGGAGAGGGTGTGGAGAAAAGGGAACCCTCTTGCACTGTTGGTGGGAATGTAAATTGATACAGCCAGTATGGAGAACAGTATGGAGGTTCCTTAAAAACCTAAAAATAGAATTACCATATGATCCAGCAATCCCACTACTGGGCATACACCCAGAGAAAACCATAATTTAAAAAGCCACACATGCACCCATGTTCACTGCAGCACTATTTACAATAGCCAGGTCATGGAAGCAACCTAAATGCCCATTGACAGACGAATGGATAAAGCAGATGTAGTACATATATACAACGGAATATTACTCAGCCATAAAAAGGAATGAAACAGGGTCATTTGTTGAGATGTGGATGGATCTAGAGACTGTCATACAGAGTGAAGTAAGTCAGAAAGAGGAAAATAAATATCGTACATTAACACATAGATGTGGAACCTAGAAAAATCATACAGATGAACCGGTTTGCAGGGCAGAAATTGAGACACAGATGTAGAGAACAAACGTATGGACAGCAAGGGGGGAAAGCGGCAGGGGAATGGGGGTGGTGGTGTGATGAATTGGGAGATAGGGATTGACATGTA